TTAATGTGATTGGAAATCCCAGCTCCCCGATAGCTATATTTTTAGTTTTTTTGAGTTAATAAAACATTACAATGCTCCTTTAAAATCATTTTGTGAGTGGCTCCTAAAAAAATTAACCTGAATACTGCATTTAAAAAATTCTCTGCGTGAGGATTGAAAACTTGCTACTAAATTTTAGGTTCTTTGGAATGTATGTAGTTCTGCATTGGGGATATTTAGGAATGAGCAACCTAATTATTTTTCCTCTCCTTGACCGGCTAAAATTTCGTATTATCTTTGTAACTATTGTCCAGTTCAGCCTCTGTCTAATGTAATGCTAGTTTCTAAAGAGTTCCCTTGTTTAATCTTTTTTCTTATTCATACAATTTGCTTTTCTCTAATAGTGATTCTTTTTATATTACATGTAACCATAGTAATGAGAATTGGAAGCAGTTGTTGCTAGGTGCCATATTTCAATGCCTTCATTTGCGTGTTTCAATAAGCAGGCCTCTTTGCCTAACGAATATTTTAAAGATAGCAGTTAAATCATGAGTTATATAATTAAGCACTTCAATCAGTTGAAGTTTGGAATTTCAAAGCAAGAGGCTAATTTGCCTATTTAATTGGGTTTCTAGCTTTATTCGGTTTATTCAATTCAGTTTCTGATGGCAGCAAACGTACAGCACTGATTTCATATCAAATAGATTTCCTGGTCCCTGAATAGTTTTAGTAGAATGTAGATTTGCTTGAGTTTGTGCAATTAAAATAACAGCTTTTGATGGATGATGCTGAAGCTACCAAGATAGTAATTTGCATTTGCTTAGAATTTTAATAGGGATTCTGCTCTGGAATGACTCTTCTAATGAGTTACCTGTTTGAACGTGTGTGGGTGCTTGGGAGAACATATAATGACATAAAATGGGGCTGACAGGTGGAATATGAAGAGCTAATTATTAAGCAATAACAACTGCATATTATTATACATTTTGGTTAAATTCCAAAATCCTTTTTAAATATTTTTTTTACTGTATCTGTAAATCCAGTACTCACGTTTAACAGAAACTTTTTTTCCAGAAGTTTTTATTTATTTATTTTTACTCTTTTATTTTATTTTTATTTGTCAATTGCTTACAAGATAATAGGTATAAGTAAAAACATAGTTATGAATACCATAGAATCCATAGTTATGGATACATATAAGAAAAATTAAAAAAATAAAAGAAACAATAGGACAGGGACGGTAGGCATGTTAGTGCGCTTATGCATGCCCCCTACAGACCTCTTAGGAAAGAGGTGAGGTCAATAGTAGACAGTCTAAGGTTAAAGTTTTTGGAGTTTGGGGAAAAAAACCACAGAGTCAGGTAGAGTATTCCAAACATTGACCACTCTGTTGCTGAAGTTGTATTTCCTGCAATCAAGTTTGTTGCGATTAACCTTGAGTTTGTATCTATTGTGTGCTCTTGTGTTGTTACGGTTGAAGCTGAAGTATTCATTGACAGGTAGAACATTGCAATGTATGATTTTATATACTATACTTAGATCGGACCGAAGGCAGCGTAGTTCTAGGTTTTCTAGGTCTAAAATTTCAAGTCTGGTGGCATAAGGTATTCTGCAACGAGTAGAGGAGTGGACAACTCTTCTTGTGAAATATTTCTGGACTTTCTCAACTGTATTAATATCCGATATGTAATGTGGTTTCCAGACTGATGAGCTGTATTCAAGTATTGGTCTAGCAAATGTTTTGTGTGCTTTAGTTATTAGTGTAATATTACCAGAGAAAAAGCTACCTAACTTTTGGCTATTCCTGAGCTACACAATGTGCAGTTTGTGAAATGCAGGAGTGTTTAGGGTTTTGAAATACAGATAGTCCTCATAAATTTGAGCTCCAGATTTATATTGTTAAGCGAGAAATTTGTTGAGTTGACTTTGGACACATTTTACGACTTTTTTCACCTTTGTTAAGTGAATCACTGCAGTTCTTAAATTAGTAACGTGGTTCCCTGTTGACTTTACTTGTCAGAAGGTCACAAAAGGTGACCACATGATTCTGGGACACTACAACCGTCATAAATGTGAGTCAGTTGTCAAGCATCTGAATGTAAACCATGTGACCATGGGGATGCTGCAAAGGTATGAAAAATGGTCATAAGTCACTTTTTTCAGTGCCGTTGTAACTTTGAATGGTCACTAAACATTGTAAATCAAGAACTCCCTGTATGCTGTTTTCTTCAGACCCTCCATTTCATAGACAAATAGAGCAGAACAGAATATCAGAGTTGGAAGGGACCTTGGAGGTCTTCTAGTCCAACCCCCTGAAAACGGGGGAAACGCAATACCAATTCAGACAAATGGTTGTCCAATCTCTCCTTAAAAACTTGCAGTGTTGGAGCATCCACAACTTCTGGAGGCAAATTGTTCTCACAGTCAGGAAATTTCTCCTTAGTTCTGTGTTGCTTCTCTCCTTGATTAGTTTCCATCCATTGCTTCTCGTCCTGCTTTGGAAAATAGCTTGACCCCCTCTTCTTTGTGGCAGCCCCTGAGATATTGTTATACAAAATCTAACAAAAATGGCTTGTAGTGACTCCAGCAAAGAATATGCTGGAAGTCTTTTGGACAAAGCATTCGTAAGCTACAGCAGAACGGTTTGATGGTACAGTGCTCGGATAAGTCGGATAAGCACATCAAGTCTATGGTGGTTATGCTTGAAAATGACTGATAATAGAAGGACTAAAAAGAACACCTTGCAGAAAGAAGAGTGGAGGGATCAGGAAGGTAGAAAATGAAACATTCTTAAAGAACAGTGAATCATAGATATAAAAGGAGAAAAGTTTAGCAAACAATACACCCACACCATCTACCATGAGTACCATTTTATCTCCTGAGTACACGCTTTGAGAAATTATGTAAGAATTTAAAAGGTTCTATCCATGCTTATAATGAAGAAAAAAAGCAGATAGCTGAAATATTGCACTGAGGGAGATGAGGGTCTTTCTTTCTTTCTTTTTCTTTCCTCCCTCCCTCCCTTTTTCTTTTTGCAGTGAACAAACTGATGATATGAATGCAGGTAGTAGTCCTTGACTCGGCAACAGGCATGCACTTATGAGCAGTTGCTGTGTCTCATGGATCACACTTTTTCCCCACCATTTTCTGGCAAAAAAACCCCACTCATTCTGTGCCTCTTTCTTTATATTTCTTCAGTCACTCTGTTTGCGCTTCTCGGGTTTTAAAAAGATTATGCACATGTACATGTTAGCGTTTATTTTGTTTCTGAATTGGTGTCTCTTGGTTTTATTCTGTAATTAAAACAATACAGTAGATTGATGGTCTTCTCTGGCAACCAAGAATTCCACCTTGCTCTGCATAACATCTAGATTTGATAGTAGTTCGTCTAGTTTATTGTTTTGTGTCTAAATATCTAAATACTTGGGTTTAGCCAAAAAGGAGTGCCAGATTAACCTCCCTGTAGTCTTAAAAATAAAACAGTGAAGAAGGAAAGTGAAAAGGGGGAGAAAAATATGTACTCAGACACCAGTTTTAACGTAGTTTATAATGTTGTGATGGCAGTGGGTTTCTTAGGAAGATCTAACTAATCTCTTAGAGCCCAAGGTTGTTCTGTACAACATAGCTTGTGCTAACTTATTTTAAACAACTAGTTATGTTAAGACAATGTTTAATGAAGTCATCTAGCTACCTGAAGTTACTATGTTAATTAACATTATGCAAAGCTTTTTGGAAACAACAGTTTTGTGTTATTGTATTTTTCTGGATATAGCAAGATTTTTCCCATAGAATCAAAGCTGTGCTCAAATTTATCCTCAAATGATGGAATATCACCTATGAATCTCAAAATCTCTATCAGTCTCTCTCTCTTTTCCTCTTCCTCTTCGTCTCCGTCTCCCTCCCTCCTTCCCCCCCCCCTCTCTCTCACACACACATACACACACACCACTTTTAATTTCGGCCTGCAGAAGAATTATGGGATTTTTATTCAAAACCAGTGCCCCTTTTTGCTAAACTACATTCTTTCAACAGATTCCTAACCTTGGCCCTTATAACCAACATGGTTTGTTTTTAATTAGTCACAATTTAGCAAAAGCCAAGAACTTGGTGTTCTGTCGAGGCTGAATTATCTGTATTATGTTTATAGGAGGTTCTTTAATTGGATTGAAGAGGAAGTATGCTGACAAAGCTGCTAAAGAAAAATTATAATACTGATGTTCTGTAGATTACATATGATAACATCCATCAAGAGATGATAATTAAAACACAATGCAATTTATTTTCAGCTGCTCTGTTTGACTCTTTGGGTATTATTGGTTATTTTTATTATATAAAATAAAAGAAGATGACATATTGTATATGTTGCACATTGGACTAATCTGAAGTAATCCACTAACAGGATTCACCTGGCATAATTTACTTAGTTTTGGGATAGTTTACTATATGTCTTCACCTTTGGTTTATATATGATGATATTGCATTAATCCAGCCAACTATGTCTTATTCAGACCATGGTTTAGTGCAAGAAAACAAACCATTCACTTACTGGAAAGTGTGTTAAGTCCATAATTTTAGTTATCTGATTTGAGGAGATAAATCATATTTTATTAAGTATGATAATGATTGTCCTACCAATTAAGATTGTATAGATCCCAAGAAACTAAAACCCATAGCCACAAAAATGGAGTTTGGGGATAGTTTGTCCACATGTGCAAGCAAGGCCGAAGACATGGGCTAACATCCACAGGATGTGGTTTCAGTCATAAAAATGAGCAGAGCATTTTCGAAGCAAGATTTTTTTTTTTTAGGTGGCTGAGATGGTTTGAGCTGGAAAAACAGAATTTACAGCCATTTACTATCTGCATACAAGAGTAGAAAAATACATGGTGGAAGTCATAAAGAGTGCTGGCTGTTAAACTGAAGAGATTCTCCTGGATCTGGCTGAAGTAGTTGAATATTTGTAATCAACAGCTTTGTCAATATACTTTCAATAAATCCTTTTCTGTTGTCACTATCTCTAGTTGTTAAACCACAATGGAACATAAGGGGACAGTGGACCTGGAAGATGATTTGGCATTATTACCACGCCTTGCACCTAGTCCTCACAGTGAAGCAGTGGCCCATGAATTTCAAGAACTCTCTTTGCAACCAAACCAATATTTACCTCCTCTCAATGAAAGGAAGAATGGTAAGTACACCATGTGGCTGATGCCATGTTTAATATTTTTCTCTAAGTAAGCTGTTATCTGGGTTTATGCCCATTTACAGGATAAATTGCTAAATGTTCTGTAACGTTATTCTGTCATAAACATAGGTGGATTTCCAGATGCAGCGATCCCCCAGTGCTTAAATAATATACTAATTACTCATCTAGGCCATGATCACCTAATGAACATTCTCTATATTTTAATATCTAGATTTGTAATGTTAGTTTTGTTGGGTCATTTATAGAACTTAATAAATGTTTGTTTTTATGTCTTCCTTCACTGTTTCTTTTGGCAAGAGAAACAGGAGGTTTAATCAGGGCATGTCTAGCCTGAAAACTGAACATGTTTCCATTTGGTGTGGTCTTCATTCTTTGCATCTGTTTGGGAAAATACACACTTGCATATGTGACCTTTTACTGCTGCATGCTTACCTAGTGATTTCCTACATCTTCCAGCTGTTTTTGTCTGAAATATCAGAATTTATCTTGGAAATCTCCATGACGTCAGATCTTCTGCCTATTCCTAATAGTAAATTTAATTCTGATTCTTCAACTACCTTTTTAACATATCTCATGGAGGTAGCTATGGAGGGAATTGGAAATGGTGTGTTAAAGAGGAATAATAAATCTGTGTTTGTGTAGCAGCACAACAATGGTGAGACACTGTGTCTGTGCCACTGTGGCTCATGCTTTCATAAAAGTCAGATAGTGCATGTGATGTAGTAATAGTTTTAGATTGTGGGACCATGATTTCATTTATGTCCCATTGAAAACATTTTAATGCAGTGCTCATTCAGGCAGTTATCTTTATCTTCTCAGATAACGCCAAAGGTAATACAGTTCTAGAGCCTGTTTTTAGAATTACAGGAGTCAATATTTACTTGAGAATGAACCAGTAAAACAATAGTCCTGCGTAGCTTATTGGGAAGTTTAACTAAGCAAGAGGGAACCAACTTGCTTATAACTGCAGTATTTCTAATCTTCCATGGCTTTGTCCTCTTCCAGCATAGGGAAGTTGGCTTCTCTCAAAGAACAAGTCCATTCGAATCTTGAAAACGTTTGCTTAGAACGTACAGCTTACAATTGGCAATGCATCCTGAACGCTCTGGATTTCTTCCAATAAGCTTTTCATCCTAGTTTTCGAGCAGGTTTTATTATAATCTCTTTTGCAGCCTGAAATGGATTATTCATCCTTTGCTTGTTGTAACTTGATTTCTCACTTCATATTAAGAATCAACAGTTTATTATTGTGTGTGTGTTTGTGTGTGTGTGAGACAAAAAAAAACCCCAAAAACCATTCTTCATGATGTTGGCATAATTGTTTGTGTACAAAACTTTTGATTAAAAACTGCAAGTCAAACTGTGATGGGTTCCAAATATTTTTAAAAATGATTTTTTATATTCAATGTTTACTTCTTTCATTTTAGCCTTTCTATTTGACTGAAAATCTATTCTGACAAGAATCTCTTTATGGCTTAACAATACAGTAGTATCAGATGGGACTGAAATATATTGTGTGAAGCCCAGTGATATTTTTTTTTGTCCCTATTTGAATACATAAACTATTATTGCAGCAACTCATTGGTCAGCTCTGTCTTTGGACTTCTTTAATGGAGGTTGATCCAATATATTTTTTCCATTTCTGCCTTAGTTTGAAACACAGAGTGTAAAAACAATGTTGTATATCTTGTCAACGGGAATTCATTGTGTCATGAGGCATTGCCTTGTTTTTGTCATAAAAAGGCAGGCTTAAAGTTCATTTATCTTCTCAGCATGAACTTAGGAAATGCAGTATGTTAAGTTATCCAGAGTCCATAGGGAATTCTGCACAAATTAGAATTGGTCTAAAAGGAAGTATGACATTTTCTGGCCTCTGAGCTAGTTGTTGTTTTATATAGTTGAGTACAAATCAACTGTTGGCGAGACCAGTCTTCCAAAAATATAATTCCTCTAAAGTCTTTCATCAAAAAGCTTTTAGTACTGATCCGAGATTTTGATTTTGAAAGTTGCTTCGCTTACAGTTAGTCTTCAAATTTTTTACTCTCCAACTTTCATTTTAAAAATAACTGTTTTTAACCTTTATAATCCCAGGTCCACGGAGACGTAGTTCTTCCCATGGTCTTTAAATGAGGAAAGCATACATTGACACGAACAAATTGATATCCTGATATGCAAGGCTATCTTTTAAACCCAGTTCTGTCATTTTTAAAGTTTTTAATTATTGTTATTTAAGCCATATTTTTTTTGATCAATACTATTCCATGATATAAATACAAAATCGCAATGTGTAGTGATATTCACTGTAAATTAAATTCACTCGGGGTCCAGTATGGTAAATATCGAGGGGGAGAAAACTGTGACGTGTGAATCATTTTGCCAACTCGTGTCTTTTATCTAAGCAATGACGTCGTTTAGCTTATAAGGAATGAGGAGGCAGATCTTCATGTGCTATTTCCCATTTAGCCCGTCATTATCCTCAAGACAGCCAGTTCCCACAATTCCAGCATTCCCTAGGCATCTGTCAGTGTCTGCAAGGAACAAATTTCAAATATTAAAGCATGTGAAAAGACCCACAGGCCAAGCTCCAGTGGTCTCCAGAGGACTGACCTCTAAAATCAACTCTCTGCTGACATTTTCACAGGCTTCTTAAAGGAATTTCTGTAGAGTCATTCCCTTTGGTAAACACTTAAGCTAAATCTCTGTCACTTTTAGTGAGATTTATTAAGAACTCTATCCCCTTGCTTTAACAAAATAACCAGAAATGCAATCGATGTCCAAATTTTAACAGTTAAAAAAAAAGAAGAAAAACTTTATATGGATATTGATATTTAAGTTTCTGGACCTTTTTTTTTTTTTTTGGTGTGTGGATAAAAACATTATTTATTTGGAAATTAGTTTAGCATTTACTGAAAAGAGTGGGTTTTTTTTTTTAATAAAAAGGACGAATATTTCCCTAAGGGATATCACAGGATGTTCCTTTTCCTGAAGTATTCAAAAAATATTGAGTGTAGTGATTGGGTGAATGAAGTTTCAAACATTTCAGTAAAATGGTTTTTAAGAAAGCCATGATGTTAATATCCTATAAATGACCTAAAAGAAAACAGTAACAGGAAATAACTTCCAATGAGTTGGACTGGGTTTTTTTTTTCATGTGAAAAATGGGTTGCAGCTTAATATATTCAACTGAGTCAGTAAATAAAATGCAGAAATAAAATAGGGCTGTGAATAAACTTGTCATGAAGATTGCTGGATATTTATGATTAGGTAGAATGGAGAAGCTTGATATTATGTTCGGTAAGCAAATGTAAGATGTGTGGTTTATTTGTAAAACACTTATGGGGAAAGCCCATTTAAATGTGACATCAAAGTGAGAGTGGCAGTAGATTTTTTTAGACATTTGTCTCACACCATGAGGTCATTGGAATATCATCTTCCTTAGGGCAAATTGCAGTCTGGAGGAGGGAGGATTTTAAACAAGAACTTTGTGTGTGTGAGAGGGGGGTGGGTGGGAGAGAGAGAAAGACAGAGAGAGGAATTCCTTCTGCCCACCGAAGAGGTCTGATTTGTACTATATGGTATGTTTACTGCTTTGGAAGAAAAGTGGCATATTGATCTAACACCTAGATACAATAAGCTTTGAAGCTGTATTCTTAGTTAATAAAATTAAAATGTTAATTTTTAAAAGCAGAATATTTTTGGTTTCTATCAATCAGACTATTAGTCAAACCAAGAATCTTTTTAGGATGTATTTGTAAGACTTGTCAGAGAAATATTTTTAGAATGTCCCCCTTCCTCAGTCCCAACTGAGGAAAGGATGCTGTTTCATATTGGCCTTGTAAAACTTGTGAGTAATGTTGTTTCCTTGATAGAAAGTCCCATTTGTTAAAAAAATAGTAATAATGGAGAGAAATTGAAAAGCTTATCTGTTTGGAAAAGAGCTTTAAGTATCGGTTTATGGATTCTGTCTAGAATCAGCAGTGTGGTTGTCATTAAGGTTTGTGTTCTAAAAAGTGGAGCTAATTAACTCACAATTAAGGGGTATATAAATCCCCTGTCTTCTGTGTCATCTTTAGCTTTAATTTCATTTAAAAGAGTCTTCTATCAGTATCTTTAAAGCGCTGCTCAAAAGTTGGGAAGACAATTTGAGTAATCCTGAGTAATCTCTTATCTGGAAAGACTGAGTTAGTAGTTTTCCAGCAAATGCCATAGTTGCTCAACCAGTTTCACCATCTCCGGATGGAATAATGGGTTTCTTTCACTCAGTAGGGTAATCTGTCTTTAGATTGTGTGTCTCTAAATAAATTCTATTATTAACAGACCAAAGCTCCTCTTTATATGATGTAAGCATTTCTGCATTCTATGAAGCTGAGCTGTGTGATCTGATGGCATTGCAAAAACTTGCTTATTATCTAGCAGCTATGTAAATGTTTTAAATGAACAAATAAATCTTGAGCAGATAGGAGATAGCGGCTTGTCAAGATGACTACTGTACTAATACTCTACTACTGACAAGCATTGAATGTAGTAGGATGTGATATAGCAGTGGCCAACTTTGGATACAATGCATTTGAGAAACATATTTTAAAGCATTTTTGCCACCTTAGAGCAAGCAAAATAAAAATCTAAGATCAGGCCTTTGCCGAAAGTTGGTATCCTGCAGTGGCTACTGACATAAATCCTGGAAGCGTGAAAATTATTGCTATTTCTCCCCAGTTGGTTCCACACAACAAATAATTAAGATTTTTTTTATTATGGAAACATGATTATAGTCACCACTGAAAGCTCTATCTTCTATCAAATGAGCATCTATAATCACCTCTGTGGCATGAGATTGTATATTTACCTTTATGTTAAGAAAGTTAAGAAAGTCCTAAGTCTCCTTATAATTAGTTTCAGGTAGGAATTCTGAAGAAGAGAGGCAGGAAATCTATTCTACTTACGTGTTACATGCCATACATGGTTCTGTACAATGCTAGCATATT